TAAACAAATGGGACCTAGTTAAACTTACAAGCTTTTGCATGGCAAAGGAAACCATAAGCAAAACAAACCAACAACCTACAGAATGGGAGAAAATATTTGCAAATGATGTGACTCACAAAGATTTAATTTTCAGAATATATAAACAGCTCATACAACTTAATAAGAAAAAAAACAAACAACCCAATCCAAAAATGGGCAGAAGGCCTAAACAAGCAATTTGTCAATGAAGACATACAAATGGCCAAAAGGCACATTAAACAATGCTCAATATCCCTTATTATCAGAGAAATGGAAATCAAAACTATAATGAGGTATCATATCATACCAGTCAGAATGGCCATGATTCAAAAGTCCACAAATGATAAATGCTGGAGAGGGTATGGAGAAAAGGGAACCTTCCTACACTGCTGATGGGAATGTAGTTTGGTGCAGCCATTATGGAAGACAGTTTGGAGATTCCACAGAAAACTAAAAATAGATTTACTCTATGATCTAGCAATCCCACTCCTGGGCAAATATCTGGAGGGAACTCTAATTTGAAAAGATACATGCACCCCAATGTTCACAGCAGCTCTATACACAATAGCCAAGACATGGAAGCAAAGTAAATGTCCATTGACAGATGACTGGATAAAGAAGATGCGGTATATTTATATAATGGAATACTACTCAGTGATAAAAAAGAATGAATTTTAAAAAAAGAGAAAAAAGAGGACACTAATGAACTCATCTACAAAACAGAAACAGACTTGCAGACATAGTAAAAAATCTATGGTTACTGGAGGAAAGGGGATGGGAAGGGATAAATCTGAGAGTTTGAGATTTGCAAAAGATAACCACTACATATAAAAATAGATAAAGAACACATTTCTTATATAGCACAGGGAACTATATTCAATATTTTATAATAACCTTTTATGAAAACGAATATATGTATGTGTATGCGTGACTGGGACATTGTGCTATACACCAGAAATTTGCACACTGTAACTGACTATACTTCAATTAAAAAAGAATAAAGACAAGTTGTTAGATTGCAAAAAAAAAAAAAAAAAGGAATGACAACAACAACAACAACAAAAATGTCATTAGTCCAAGCCAGGATACTTCCTTAGGGGGTCATTGAAATATATTAGTACATATCAAGTAATGGTTACTGAGCAACATGTAAGCATGGCAGACTATAGTTATATAGTATCAGATAATTATAACATACGTTAGCTACAGTCGCATTCAGAAGGTATTGATTTCAAAGATTATAACACACAAGTGTTATCTGGTGATATCTGCTATTCTACATCAAGGAAAATAAATTTGTGAAGGCTGGAAAGAGTATCAGCTTTCAACAAAATTAATACAAGACAAATGTCTCCTCCATAAGCTATTTACATTAAGAAGCAACTCAGTCTTCATTTTAACATTTCTTAAGTTCAGTTGTGAAATTTTAAGTTCCTAAATTTTGATGTCTAAATTTCTCTGGCAAAATTCATCTTCTTTGGGGGTTATTAAGTCAATTAACCTTGCAAAGGGAAGGTTAAAAGGACTCCTGTAGGCTATATTGTCACAGCACGAAAAGAGAACAGGCAGCAGCCTGAGTGAACTGCTGGGAGGGCCAAGGAAAGGCTTATACTAGCAGATGATCAGCTCTGTTCTTGCTAAAATTTGGCAAAGAAATACACTGTGGTTTCTTCAGATGACAGCATCATAATTCATTTAGCTCTCCCTTACCTTTTCACAAAAAGGCCAAAACCCCACAGGAAATGTGAGCACTGACATTTTCTACCCGGGATCAAAAACTAACTATTTTGCCAGAAATTGAAAACAATATAGCTAAAACAGTAAATACACAGCAATGTGTTGAAAGAAATAGGCTGCTGAACTGGCCAGTGACACAATCCATCATTTCTATTTTAACTTCTGATGGATAGAAAGGTAAAAAATAAATAAAAATAAATATACATTTAGGTTGGCAGATTTCCATGCACATATAATGAAAACCAAATAAATTTTAAAGAATCCCTTTGCATTAATTTACAGATTATGATCTAAAGATTTACACTAAACACTATGCCTTTAATGGCAAGTTTGATTATACATTTCTAGCTGATTTCCAGGCAGTTAAAAGCTAGCTTAAGGGCCATCTAGAAGGCATGATTTCTTTTCTTTCCACAAAATGCTAAAGCTTCTTTATCATTCTGTATTCAGTCATGAATTCAGCTGCACAAGCCAAACGTAAAGATTTTATGGGGTGATCTATCATGTGAATTCGTGAACAAGAATACAAGCCTACTCATGCAGTCACTGAGAATGATTTCCATTTTTATGAATGAAAAAGAACCGTTCATAAACATTCTTTATTTAAAGTTTTAAATGAAGAAAGATGCAAAACAAAATGGGAATATTTTGTTTTATATGTCAATATCTTACAAGAGGGGCAAAGTAAGGAATCTGGCTCACATGATTCCCAAGACAGCAGTATCTCCTTTGCATTAAGTACATAAATGAGATTTATGGCCACTGACCTAATCTTAGATGCCAAAATGTACAGCAGGAACAGCTTTCTGAAAAACTTAATTTAAAATGATGGTGTTAACAAAAGCACTTTAGGAAGCAGGCAACACACCCGGCATGCATACACACATGCATTGCAGAGACTTGACTATAGAAAGGAGCCACGGATATTTGCATAAAGCTTTAGAATACATTTCACAGATAATTCAAATCCACAGGTTTTACTTTTCTCCCTATCACCTTGACGTTTATGAATTTCCAAATAAATACATATCACTAGACAGCTAATTTTCATCACTAAAGGTCATTTAATAGCAGATATTCATAGATCTAGGTTTGCGGAAGGATTAGAATTAAAAAAAATGAACCTGTTAATTCTTTTTCTGGATTTTAAAAGCAGTTTCCTTACTCACTAAGTACTAACTAAATTAGCACCTTGGAGTGAAGAAAAGGCTTGAGCAGCTGCACTTACAACACTTTCTTCACTGAGTGAGAGAAAGGCGGCTGTGATGCAGCTAATCCCCTGGTAACCACTTGGAGATTTTCCTAAACACACTGATTTTTGACCTGAAAAAGGATAAGAAAGAAAGAAAACAGTAAATGAAACCTATAATGACAGATGTCAAATCAACACTTTCTTAATGTAGTTCCATAAAACAAAATTCCTGGAAAAAATAACATCCTGCAGAATAAAATGTCAGGTTAAAGAAACACACTCTTTCCCTTATCACTGGGTTTTAACAAGTGAATTATGCAGAGTCAGAGGAGGTAAACATAGACTAACAAATCTTTTTCAAATGATTTCAGAAGTTTTTACTTTTAAATATAGATTTGAAGCTCTGAAATGTACATTTCAGGTATACATAAATACATCATCCCTGAAACAGATAAATCGTGCTATTATGTAACTTGTGCATATGGCTAAAAAGATTTTTAAAGAGTACCTTTAAAAATTGAAATTAAAGTGCAAGATTAAAAAGAACACTGGGTTTTATAAGTTATCTATACAGTCAATTCTAAATTCCTTTCATAGATAAGACTGTTTCAAAAGAGGGTTTAAAATAAGAACTTGTTGGAGGTACCTTATTTGGGAGATAACTCCCAAAAAGCTGAGAGAGGAGGCGTGGGGAGTGAGACAGGAAAGGAAAAGCTTTTGAGTTGGTTAATGATCTGAGCAACCAAGTATCAATTCTACTGAGAATTCTCTGAGGAACTCTGCCGAATATAGCTCAGAATTGCTCATCCAAAGGATCTCAGGCTGGTATATTTATTCACAATATCCTGTCTCCCATTAGTTGAGTGTTGCTACAAGTGGCAATATCTCCCTCACTCTTCTTGGCTTCCCTGGCACAAGGACTGAGTAAGCTCCCTTGGCTTCAGAGAAAGTCCTGAGGCAGAAGAATGGAGAAATGCACAGCCCAAGTTTTGGTAGAACATTGCTGTGTGCCCAGAACTATTTGGCAGTGCTCAATAGCAGGTGACAAGGGCACCAGAAACCTGTGCCTCAGATACCAGGTCACCTACAAAAGTTATCACTCCATTACTTTAAATAAGCTCCCAGGATAGAGATTAGTAAGACTCTTCATAAATCTAAAGCTTTTGCATTCTAAAATATATTTTTATTTGTAATTTTAAAAATCTGAAAACAATCTACTTTATAAAAATAATTTATATGTTCATATAACCAATCCAATTCCCATTCCAATTAACATTTTTTGGGGGTGTGTGTGTGTACTTTCAGAAGAAATTCATGTTTAAACTAGGCAAAAGGATAAATTTGAAGTTTAAAGAAAAAGAAGCCAATGATGCTAAAGGGGAGAAAAAGTATCACCTAAATATGACAACTAATTTTCACACTGTTTCTATACTACAAAACTGTTTAAATGAAAAATAATGTAATTTGATCAGTTTTATTCTTTTTTTAAATCTCAATAAAAAACAATCTGGTTTGGATTAATTTCCCATTTTTCACCTAGCTGTTTCAGCATCATGAAGAAACACATTGTCTTAATTGCACTTTTTTTCAAAAGGCCATATATCATAGTAGTTAAAATTATTCAGATCTTGAGGTCAGATGCCTATGTTTGAATTCTCACTCCACAACTTACTAGCTGTGCAGAATAGTGACAATGACAGTACTTAGTTATATATTCAGTAATTGGTACTTTAGGATTAAATTATATAACACGTACGAAGCCTTTAGAAAAGTGTCCATCTCATAATAACTGCTCAGTAATATTACTGATGATGATTATTATGTATTGTTAATAATCTGCAAAAATTAGGAGGTAAAAAGTTGTAACAGCAAGTTTATAATTAAGTGTGCATTCATATACAGTTATACTACAAAGCAATAAAGGAGAAAAGAGACTCTTAAACTCACTGTTTTGTAGAAGGGGAGTCAATGATTTCCAGATGAAAGGTGGAGTTTCATTTGGTCTTCCTCTGTGAGAGCAAGGAAGTTATTCTCATTACAGTCCACCTCACATGAGCAGTTACCCATAAACAGCTTGTTTGAGGATGTCAAATGCTAAGAATAAAGATCAGTGAGCAGAATAAGAAATGATGAAGCAGGAAGCTAAAACAATTTGAAACTGGATAGATAAATGCAATTTACATTTACTCAAGAAAAAACTGAAAGGAAAAGTAAGAAGTTTATCCACTAACAGGAAAATGTAATATCTAAGAATGGCAAACAGTTGATATTGGTGACCTAAGTGGTCAATGACTAATGTGGAATAATGGATTACGGTCACACAAATGGCTGGTGTAGTGCAATCGCATTAAAGAGCAAAAGCATTATACTACAATAGGATACAGTTAGGTCGTGAATTTCTCAAAGAAAAGGGAAAAATACCACAAAGCTGTTGAAGGCAAAAGAGACAAAGTAAAAAAGCATTAATTAAAATAAAAAAATTTAAATTCCAGTAGGAAAAAAGGCTGACCATGTGGTGGCAAGCCAGCATTAGAAAGTTATATGTTAGTACCATTAATACGTAAGTTCAATAAAATAAATTAATTAATATATAAATAAACATAGTCTAAAGTAGGACAAAGTAATATAAATGAACAAATTTAAAGCACTGGCATACCTTAGGAAACTAAATTTATGTTCAATCTGGGATAAATTTGTTATTACATTTGGCACAATGGATCTTATTACTATTGATATATAATGGGCACCAAGTAGGCATCTTCAAAGTTTCCTGATTTTGAATTTAAAAGTGGACTAGAGAAGGATACTTATTTGAGATCCTGTAATTGCAGCTCTAAAAGAAACATCATTTTTTAAAAAATGAGAACTGTCTAAGGTCACCTGAAAGAACAACTTTCATCAATCCCAGAAGACTACGTATTTAATTTCTAACTAGGTCTGATTCAATATAGGTAGACATACATAAAATATATCTTGAAGTTAAATTTGTATATGACAATAGAAAATTTTCAGCTTTTCAAAGTAGTTTCTAAGTAGTTTTTTAAACTGGGTTTTCATATCAAAACATAGTGTTCTTATTACGGGTTTTCATAATATGAACCTGAGAAAAAATGTTGGATGTTTTCCTGTAAAATTAACCAATAAATTTTAGAAAAGCCAAAGATAATTTATGCTCATCAGATCTGTTTTTTCCCCCCAATAATGTTAAAAGAAATTTCAGTAATTCCATGGGTTGGCTGATTTCCTTTCTTTGTATTCAGCTAAATGAGAAGACAACTCAGTGTAGTGTTCCAGTCAGTCAGGTCTAACATTTACCTACTCAAGGTTAATATTCATCTATACTTCACCCACTTTTTATTGTCACTGTGATTATGTTGAAGATCCCAGATATTGTAACATTTCATCTGTATGTATTTCAGTAAGTGAAGATGAAGAACTCCTTTTTCTCTTTTTAAATAAAACCGCCACAGAATTGCTACACCTAAAAAAAATAATTCCTTAATACCATCAACTATCTTGTCAAAGTTCCCAACAAAATTTGATGAAATACTACAAAACATAAGATATCTTAACAAGCAGTAAAATAAATGGCTAGAGCAAAATCCTCACCTAATTTGTATCTGTGTTTTCATTTTTAAAACACATTTGGTAAGTAACTGAACATTGTTTTCATATGAATTATTATCAGGTAAAGTTCTTAAGTATTCATTATTATTTAATTTGAAATTTCCACTAAGCAATACAGAAAGATTTCAACTTTAAGATTCAGTGCTCACCAGTGAGTTATCTCCAATGTGTTCACTTTTTTCTGCAAATAATCACCCTAAGTTATATCTACACATGCACAGAAACTGAGAAGGTATAATGCTACTTCTACGCCTACCACACAAAAGTACGCCTACCACACAAAAGTACACGATGTCTTTCTAGTTATACTGCTGCCTCATTTTCTATTATATACTGCCTCATGTTCCAACAACTACTTTATCTATGGTAGCAATGGATAGGTAAGGCCCTAGACTACTTTAAATCAATCATTCATCCTTTGACAAATTAAAAAAGTTGGCCAATTGACTTCAACTTAATAAATATTTATTGAGTGCCTAATAAATGCTAGGCTCCATGATGTTATATGCACTGTTATGTTAGCAGTCAATAGGCGAGAAATGATCTCCCCTCTCATCAAGTTTACAATCTAGTAGAGTAGGGACTGTAAAAATATGCCAAAGCAATACCCATGTGATCTATTTCCAAAATTAGGAAATGTGATACTTAAAAAAATTTTTTCTAACAACATTTGTTTCTCATGTGGAAGATACGATTTTACTAAGGAAAAAAATGAGGGAAGGCAGAAAGATTTGCATGTAGGAGGCCATTCAATTAGTAGTGATGGAACTAAACTGAGTAACCTAGGGTTTCTTCTGAATAAGGCATCATTACTTTCCACGTTTAGTAACAGTTAGCTCTGTTTAAGGCAGGTTAAACAACCTGTAATCAAATCTGAAGTAATCAATTAAGATAAGTTTCAAACATCAAGTCTATGTTTTATTGTTTGATAGCTTTCTTTTTTTGATGTTTATGATTACCACTGATGATAAAGAGAAGCCACTAGAAGGAAAAGGATTGGAAGAACATGCATTAAGTTCAGAGGACATGTAAATTGACAACCATAAATCCAAAAAAAATGTTCTCTATCTTTAGGGAAATATTTGTTCCAAGCTGAAAGCCCCATTATATGCACTGGAACTGAACTTTAGCTTATAATTAGGGTTGGGTCAAAAGTCTAAACCAGAAATTCAAAATACACATAAATACTTGACCTGAATAAGGAAAGAAAGTCTCTGTTAAGTGAAAGTTGCATGTTTGAAAGTTCTCAGGAGACTCAATTACTACTCCCCATTCTTTTAGGAAACATAAATCAGGAGAGGCTTAAAAGGAAGTTAAAAAGACGCTAGATTCCCAAAGGATTTTATATACTCTCATTAGATTGTCACTTGGTTAGGCAAATAAATGACCAAGTTATAGAAACTGAATCAACAAAAAGAAGCAATTGAATAGTACATGCTATAATACATTGTATAACATTTTCTTACCTGTGGACCACTGTCTAAATTATAAACAAAGTAAGTAG